TGATGAGTCGGTGAAACTCCGACGAAACAGTTTGTCACAGCCCCTCGTTTGTTGTCCTCTTCTCTCTCTCTGCCTACGGTTTACCGGGCGGTTCAATATATACATATATATTTGACGATATATATATATCCTCCTGATGAGTCGGTGAAACTCCGACGAAACAGTTTGTCACAGCCCCTCGTTTGTTGTCCTCTTCTCTCTCTCTGCCTACGGTTTTACCGGGCAGTTCTGTTTGTGATGATATATTGACGATATATGACGATATATATATATATATATATTTTCTATTTGACGATATCCTCACAAACAGAACCGCCCGGTAAACCGTAGGCATTTTTGGCTGTGACAGACCTTTCTTTGTTTCGTGGGTGTTTTGCTTGCTTGTGATGGGGTGTGAACCGACAGTCTGTAGAGTTTTCCATCTGGTGTGGGTGAGTGATAGTCTGCTTTGACTTTTGCCACAGGTACCGTGAGGGCAGTGGTTGGTGCCCACCTCAGGGTATCAGTTGTCGGGCAGTCGTTGATGCTTAACCACAGCCGGGGTTAAGGTGGATTATCACTTACAGTGTAATCAGTTAGGGGATTTTGCAGACTGTTGAGGGTTCAGCCTCCTGATGAGTCAGTGAAACTCCGACGAAACAGTTTGCCACAGTCCCTCGTTTGTTGTCCTCTTCTCCCTCTCTGCCTACGGTTTACCGGGCAGCTCTGTTTGCGAGGCACAAGGCCTCGATACGCCCTACTGGGCCCTATTTTCAGCACAGTCGGCCGCCAGTTGGTTGAGAGCGCCCAGGCCCAGACTGCCCCTTTCCAATGTAACTGAGGCAGGTCCTGGGCCAGATTCGCAACAGAGACCGAACACAGGCCGCGGGCAGTTGGATACGGGCAACCACCACAGGCCCAGGGCCTGATTTGTTTGGACTGGGGCGCAGCCTCTCTGGGACTACCGGAAGCTTCTGGGCAGGGGCCCAGCACAGGCCACTTCCATTTAGGAAAGTGCCTGCCCACGCATTCGGCATTCGGGCACTGGCTGCATGCTGCGCTAACATTGGCCAGCGCTCACGTGCTCACGGGCGAGCTGGAAGGAGCAGGCAGCCATAGCCGAGCTGCGCTGCTGTATGCTGGATGGGGTGCATGGTGGTCCTTGGGTGCATGTGGCATCTGTGAGTTGGGGAACGAGGTTGTGAGTGATACGAGAGACATACCTGGTGCTTGAAGCATACGACATTGGCCGAGATCTGCTCGTACTTCGGGGAGCTGTTGACGTCATTGGGGGCATTGTAGATTAGGCTAGATAGGATCGGCCATCTGTAGTCTGGGCGCCGAGCGCCAGATAGGATATCGGCATTGGTTCTTCATTGATGATGATGAAACTATTCCAGCATTGTCAATTATGAGCTTTTGCTGTGCTCTTATTTGGTGAAACTCGTGATGCGATTCTGCTATTGGTTCGAGGTCACTACTATCTGGTCTCATGTGTATGGTGCTGTTTGATTTCTGAAGTTCGCTATCGCTCATTTTCCTTGCAATATATATATTAACATTTTCATTTTTGAGCTTGGATTTGGCTACGAATTTCGAGATGGTCCGCAGCCGAAAGATTTTTGTATTGCAATGCTGCATAGCATATCTTTTTTTCAGATTTTTTGGATTTTTTTTCAAGTCGTTTTTTTTGGGGGGGTGGGGGTGGGGGAATGGATCCGGACACTTTGGACCGGAGACCAGACCCAGACATCAAGACCCAGACCATCTGCGCTGGGGTCCAGATGTCCAGATGGTAAACATGGTTCAGAAACCTCCTATATAAGTGTGGTGTTATGTCTCCCTTTGGTTTTCGTCTGCCACACCCATTCTGCTAGCTCAAACTCCGGATATTCTAGGGCGGTGTATGGCTGAAATACTAGAAATAGCCCTTATGGTTTCGGACCTAGAAGTACGACTTTCCTAGTAAGAAGTACTAAGAACATGTCTAAGGTTACGTCTTTGGGATCTAGTTTCTCAATGCTTGAAGGATGAGAAGATCGAACTCTTCTGGATCTACGTCCTTAATGCTTGGAGAAGTACAGCATTTGTATGTTAGCGTGCTGTGCTCACAAGAGATCAATCATCCATGTGACCAAGCAAACACCCACTTGACTATTTTGACTGATTGTGGTCCTTGGTTCCACGCATCGAGCATCATTTCCAAGTGCTCAATCCATTCAATCCATGGCTAAGTGTTATGTGCCTTGTACCTAACTGATGTTTGTTCTTGTTCTTTGTTTGGCGTGAGGGACAGACGATGCTGAATTAGGTGGATTCAATGGCGGCAACAGGCGATGGCGCCCACCAGTGCTTGATGGGGAGCAACCATCTTCTCGAGGAAAGGACAGCGAACTATGGGAATTACATGAGGCACCAAGGGTTGCCCGAAGGCATTCAACACCAGGGTATCTTGAGCGAGATCCCATGCCACCAGCAGATGTTGAACCTAGTCGCCCTGCACGGTGGAGTACCTCCAACATTGAGAAGCCAATTTCTATGCAAGATGATTGGGAAAGGCCTGGTTCAGATTTACAAGGTACTGGGAACCCCAAAGGACAAAAGACGTCACATGGTGAGGGCGCTCTGGAAAGGAATGGAGGGGAGTTAAGATCTGATGCACAGAAGAGGGATCTCAACTGTTGGGGAAGGTCGGAGGGTGGGTCCGGATTTGCGGAGGGACAGCAACGGCAATTTCCGACGCTCCAGCTGAGGGAGAGCGACAATGCGGTTGCAAGGGCGGCGAAAGGTGAAGGAGATGTGGCTGCAGGCTCACCCTTAGGGTCGAATACATCTTCACCAAGAACGTCTGCCGCAGCAGGACTTCCCAGCAGCCCTCACGGAGACAACAGGACAATGAATCTTATCTTTGGGGGAAGTGAGGGAGGAGGAGGACAGCGAACACGGTTTGCTGGTGCGGATGCAGGTGTGGAGGGTGGACCGGCGGGGAAGGTGGCAGGTGGATTGGCGGGAAAGGTGGCAGAGAGTCCAAGAAGTACGGAAGCTGTAGGGCGGGGAAGAGCCCCAGGGACACGCCATCCATCGTATACCTCTGAGAAAGAAGTGCAAGAGAAACTCCAACAGTCCTGTGGCCTGGAGCTTCAGCTAAGCAACATGTGCATGGAAAGACAGAAGGTACGGTAATGGGAAGCAGAGGGAGAGTGGCAGTGGATTTTGTCAGTACAGAGGAGAATATGTTTAACTAGTGTGCTCACTACCGTCTTCACCCGAATAGAACGCCCGGTCATTATCGCTGTATCTAGAGTCTGGACTGAAAGTTGCCCCAAATACAGCTATAATGAGCGGGCGCTCTATTTGGGTGAAGACGGTAGTGGAGGGCACTCACATATATTGTATACGCAAATTTAGCTTCCATTACAGATTGCAATCTGCGCTGGCTTTCAACAATGAATCTCTGTTTTCTCGTTGTTTTGAATATCGAATTATTATTTTTCCCACAAAACTCACATCCACGCTGTTGCGTCCTACCAGACCAACCGGCATGGTTCTCGCAGTCTTACAGTTTTAAGATTGTACAGCGATCCTGTGTGAAACTGTTTTCTTTCACAGGCCGGAACTCAGTACAAATTGTTTGGCCGGCCGTTGAGAAAGGGTGACTTTGCCCGCTGGACCACTGCGTCATGCAAACAACCTCCAGCATCGCCCCACAACACTACTCAGATGCTGCAAAACAAAAAAATATATGTTTTATGATACAATCAACTCACTACTCTAACTCTATGTATGCATGCGCACACACACACACACACACACATATGCACGGCATTGCACGCCCCTCCACTTCCCCCCGCTACTCCTTCTCCCTCCCCTGCCCCTCGCTTCCTCTACACTCCAACCTCTTCCCCTTTCCTTCCTCCCTCCCCTTGTTCACTACCAGTAAATCCATACGAATGAATAAGCATCATTAGGAGAACAGACAAGATGTAAGCTGAAGATCTCAAGAAAAATAAACAGGGGTATATATAGCTTCCCCTTTACTCTGTCTCCTTTCACAACGTGCAAGCGGCCGTTTAACCACAGTACCCCAGGGGGTCTTATGCCCCCTCTGGGGAGGCTCTGATCCAAATGCATATGGACCCGCGTGGCGCACCGATTCAGCCACCTCGTTAACGGCCTAAAAACGTGGAGGTACTGGTGGCTGAAACCACCAGTGCACCCATACATCGGCCGTGGGCCCCGCCTGGAGGCAGGTAACACTCCGGAGGCCGCCAATTGAATTTATCAACGGCGGCCCCGCCCTGCAAATTCCGGTGCTACAGTGTGGTGGCGATGAGTTTCTTTCTGCAAGGCTGGGGCCGTGTATAGGTGGTTTAAGGCACAGGGGGATGTGGGCAGCTGGCGCTAAACTATAATCAGTGTGGTCAGCCTTGTATGTGAGAGGCACAGTGAATAGGGAACTGCAATGACAAATAGAAGGGGTACCCCAATGAAAGCCGAAGTACAGGAAGTCAAGAACGCTGGGCCCGGTTCCCAGCATGTGCTGCTCCCCACGAATAGACTTGAGCATTTGTCCTTTTCAAAAAAAAAAAAAGAAAGGTATATAATGGATCTATTCTGCTCCATGTTGCTTGCTATAGAGGTAAAACTGTTTCATTGTTTGAATGGCTCATCTCAAGTGTGCTTCATTGTCTGCAATAGAGATAAAGCTGCATCAGTCATGGATAACTCATCTGGGAGTAACAGGGGCTGTGGTGGTGAAAATCCACAAAACACACACATACACGCACGCATACACACACACACACACACACACACACACACACACACACACACACACACACACACACACACACACACACACACACACACACACGCATGCATACACTCGGCTCTACTGTGCTATGCTACTTCCACTCTGTCATCCGCTACTTCTGACGTGCCATCTGCTGCTTCGGATGTGCCATCAGCTACTCCGAGAGAGAGAGAGAGAGAGAGAGAGAGAGAGAGAGCTGTCAGAGTGCGGCATAGCACATCACTCCTTCATGCATGTTTCTTGGCTAAGGACCAGGGCGTTCCCATCACACGTTCTTTGTTTTTCTGTAATTTTTGTAGGGAGGAATTGTGTTAGTATGTGATACAGCGATTGACTGTGAAGCAATTGGCTGTGGGTGGTAGGTCCACTACCAGTAGTGCACAAACTAGTGATAATCAAAGACCCAAAACCCCACTTGAATAAGTGCGCAAGATGTAGACAGAAAAAAAACACTCAGTTTGAGGTTCCAAAGCTTTACAACAAAATGAGTGCATCACACATCTTTACTTCATCGACTGCCTGATGGAGGAGGATATGTGCAGCCCAAGCGGGCTAGCTCGGTTGGTTGAAGTGGCACTCAGGAGGTTGTTGGTTCGATACCCAACGTCCGTCGTCCTTTCGATCCCCACGACCACCTGGCGTTATGCTTCGGGTTCACCACCAGAGATTGTTGGCTTGGGCCTCCTGGGTGGTTGTGGAAGTAATTGGTTCTTTCCAGCCCGCGCCGGCTGTTAGGAGCTTGGGTACTGCTCCCCGCAGAGATAGGTAGGCGCACACCCATAACCTCAGGATAGCTTCACGCTGGATAGTGAATTTGTTTAAGC